CTTCGGACGAAGTCCCTCAGGGCTACCAAGAACAAAAGGCTATTCATTTTTGCTGAAAGTGAGATGTTGAACCGGAACAATAGACCATTTCTTGATACGGTGTATTCGTTGTTCTATTTGTCTGCGATACGGTATGGACGAGGAAGAGACCAAGGGGAAATATATTCTTCTCCGTGGTAGTGTGGCCGCAGTCGATAAAGGAATTTTCGCTTACTTGAGACATATTGCGCGAGCTGCTGTTTCTGCAGTGTCATCAGTGAGAGCAAATAGCCAGAGTCAACCAGACACGGACCTGCCGGAAACAACAAGGGAAGAGGACTTGGAACCAGCAAGAGAGGACTTTGCGACTTGGTATCAAGCAAGAAATACTTTTGGAACAGAATTTGTACCCAGGGGAGAGTTATTTGAAGCTATTCTTGGAGCGAAACGACATTCAGATAGAATAGCCCTTGTTGGCATTAGACGTAAATCATTGTGTCTTGAATGTAGCACAGCGGACGTAACTCGACTTTCGGACGAAGATGTCAACTTGCTTTAGGCGATTTCTGCTTCTGAATTGAGATATCAAACGTTTAAACAAGGGCTGCAGTTTGGGCGCCAACTTTTACCGGGCGACTCAGTTTTTGTTTCAGTGAAAGGAGTTAATTTGCGTGGTGTTGTTCGTTTCAAGGGGGAATTACCGTCTTGTCTTGGCACTATGTTTGGAGTTGAGCTGCCAGTAAGTAGCTTGTTTGATGCAAGTGTTCTATCTTTGAGGACCGTTCACAAAATTTAAATCGGATTGTATTAACATAACCTACATCGGATCGGATCAGACAATCAAAACTTCATGTAGGGCCAAGTCCGATCGGACTGATAAAAATACCTGGATTGGATCAATGGGGCCCGTCATAAATTCCCCCCTTCCCCATCCCCCACCCCAAATCGAAGAGTATAAAGCTGGTAAGACTAATATTTGGAGCCACAGACCATGGAACTTGCAGAATGAGCAACACCTGCAGGTTTTTTAAATCCAATTCTGTCTGATCCTGGTTATGTGAACACCCTTATTTACGCTTTTAGTGATGAAATTTCTATCAGCCAAACCTGATTGTAGAATAACTGTCAGTTTTTAAACTCACGAATTCTCAATTGCACTCATTCTCATTTGCAATCATAGTTATGTAGGTGTCCCCTTAAAGGGCGCATTACTGGCAAACTCTTTTATGGCGACTTGTAGGCAGATTTGAATGAATATTCGCCTTTAGTGGTGGGAGAAATGAGGAAGGTTTTGTTTTGTAATACCTTGCACAGCAGGAAAGATGGAGGACTTTGTTAACCAAGAGTTAGCCATTGTGAGTAGTGGTCAAATGAATAAGTGATAAGAAGATTAAAGTCCAGCAATCATATTTCATAGTTGCGACCTTTTTAACCATTAATTTGTTTGGTCTTGTTTTTGCTGAGAATGCCCTCTAAGAAATGAAACCACTGATATGTAAAGGACAAACTACTAAATGTAGATTGGAAAGTTAAACTGGCAAACATTGTTTAATTTTATTGCCCACCACGCGCTCTCATTTCTTAGAATCGGAACATGCGTTTGAACATTTTCCTCAAATGAAATGTCTTAGACTTCTTTCCTGAAGATGCTTGAAGATTTGTTACTTTGATGTTTTGAGAATTTTGCCAGTTTCCTGGTCCTAGGATTTATTTTGCTCAACAAAACATTGTTGACAGTAGTTTTCCTCTCTAAATCAGATAATTTGGGGAAGTACTGTTATTTACATGCAATTTCCATTCTCACATAATTTGTTGTAAGCTTACATACTTGTTGAAAGTGTGTTAAAGGGCTTTTCCTAAAAATACCATTGGTAATGCTCTTTAATTTGCAGGTTTAGAATTGACTGTAACTAGTAATTAGTTCAGCCTCATTCAGTGTCCTAGCTATTAGCACAGTGGAATTTAGAGTAAGAGCCAGCTTGGGCTTCAGTGCACTGCATGTTCTGCGGATGAAAGAAACCTAAAAATATGTTACTTCTGAGGCCAATGGAAAAATAGTAAGAGTAGATCACAGATAAATACAATAAGTATGCAAATGATATGAACATTTGGTCTTTTCGGGAAAATCTCAAACCTTGCCCTTGTGGTATTGATCTCGCTGTTGCTCATTCACTCTGGCAAGGTCTGGGCTTGAGATTTTTTCATTAAGACCTTACTTTGGTTGTAAAGTAGTTAACAGATTAGTTGCAATGATCATGATTATTTTTTCTGTATAGCGTAATTATCATGAAAACTAATATAGATTTTTTTTACACATTATTTCTAGTATGCCCAATGGCAGGGAACATGTGATGGGACATTCGAAAACAAGCGGTACTTTGAATGTACACTAGATTCTGGGGTTTTTGTTAGTCTTGATAAATTGACACCTCGAGGAGATACAGTTTTGCCATCAATTCTGAAAGGAAATGTCAAAGAAAAGTCACCTCAACAAAGAATTGAGAATTTATTTGAAATGAATCAAAGAGTTGTGGCATTCATTGAGGATCATCCAGCCAGAGGGACTGTGCGGTATATTGGTGAGGAGGAGGATGAAAGTGGAAATATACAAACAATTGTCGGATTGGAACTGGTAAGCCATGTTATCTTGGAAAGTAATTAAATTGTACTGTAAATATAGGTACATAATAATTTATACAACTCTGGGGCAGATACAGGATTTTAGAGGAGGGGGTTTGAGATACAGATGGCTGAAGGAAGTCCCCTATAGGGGGATCCAGGGACATCTGCTGGCATCCTTCCCTGGAAAATATTTAATCTTGAGGTTTTCAAAAATGGGATTAATCCAGCATTCTGAGGCCAAGTCAGTGTGTTATACACCCTAATACCTAATTATTTTTAATTTAGGGGGTTCACGTTCACAAACCCCCTAGATCTGGCCCAGACAACTGTACGTTGAAATTACATACAATTTTTTTGACATCTTTTTTGGCATACATATTAATTTTGTGCACATATTTTTTGACCTGGCATCATGCAAAATGTACCATCAAATTTTGTCTTTTACTGAGTGGGAAGTCTATGGAATAATTAACTGGGATGGCTTAAGGGCTAAGGCTGAGCCCAGTTCATATGTTTGTTAATATATCTACAAGCCACAGTAAAATACTGGTTTATATGGTGTACTCTATTTGTTCTTTTTTGATTGCTTGGCTTGAACATAGTTGCCTCCAGAGAGCAGTGTCCTTTCTCTGGTGTTTCTTCCTTCCATTTGTTGCTTTATTCCCTGTTTGTATTCTGCATTTCACGGGTTTATGATATCATCTTTCGGAGATGTCTTCATTTCGGGATTTATGTGGTCCAACTTGATCTTTACTGTTGTTCTTCTTGTTGCTTCATAAGGTGTGATTCCTGTGGCTTGTGGTCTATAAGCAATTAGCATGTCTTTTATCACATTCTGTCTCTCGAACAGATCTTTAATCCCTTGCAAACTTGCTATGTGCTGTATCTTGTTTAGCATGTGCATGAACCTCTCTGCTTCACCATTCGCCTTTCAGGGTGAAGGATTGTTAATTTATGGTGTTAAAATCCTTCTTGCATTGCAAATTCAATGAGTTCCTTAGAGTTGAGTGGTGGTCTGTTATCGCTCTCAATTCTCCTTGGTGTTCCATGAATGACAGAGATGTGCTTTTTTAAATATGTTTGTTGACTTGGCAGTTGGTTGATGCTACTACATATAGCTCTACAACTGAGTATGTGATCCATTTGTCGATTAGAAAGAGGTTACATAATATAATGACCATCTGGGTGTATATGGTCCACTGTGGTCTAGGGATACTTTACCCAACAGTTGGCTTGGGATGTTTGAATTGTTACATGTACATTGTTAGGCTCCTCTCTGTTCTCTGTTCCTGCTGCTACATGTATTTACCTTCAAAGCTCTGGCTGTGTTGTTCATACTGTTCATCAATGGGGACCACTATTTTCCTCTCAGTAACTGCTTGGTCTTGGTCTTGCCTAAGCATCCTATACTGCGTCCTATCATGACAACTTTTCCGTAGAGGGCTGCTTGCAGTGCGATAACACTTCTCTGAATATTAATCTTTGTGGATCTGATAACTGATATTTTTTACTTAAGTATGGCTTTTTGTCCTTATCTTGCTTGTGTTCTCCCAGTCTCCCCTGGCAGTTCTCTCGATCCGTGTTATGACTAGTACAAGCTCTGCACTTGCATTGATAGTCCTTCTGATGATCTTCTTAGTGTTTTTTCTTCTGTCAGGCAGTGCGTGTCAAGAGAGGTAGTCTAGGGGGTCTGCTCCATCTTCCTTTTTCTGTACAATAGTTAATAATCACTGATTCTACCGGGGCTGCTTGCTGTTGGAGGTATTCATGGTCTGAGTCACTGCTTCTCTCTGATCAGCCTCTGCTGCTCTCTTGACTTGTCCCCTGTACTTTTCTTTGATTTGGTCTCACATTGCAACAAGAGGGATAGTCATTGCTGTCTGTAGGATGGGCAGTTTAGGTCTGGTCTTACAGTGGTTGCAGCTTTTGTCAGGCGTTACCCTTTCTTGTGTTATTGCTTCCACTTGCTTCGACTTTCTGGGTGGTCACTGTGATGGAGTTCTGTGTTATCTTCTTCCGCCTTGTTTCTCATCTCTTAGCCTGAACTTCGACTGGCGTCTTAGTTTGGATGCCTTCTAGTCTTTCATGTTTTTCACTTGTTGATATCTCCCTTTTGGTTTTCCATCTAATAAATCGATCATCATATGATCTGTTTGGGCCTGCAAGCTAATTCTTTGGAAAACCATAAGAAAAAGGTCCCGTATGAGGGCCGTATGCGTCGAAGTGATATAGTCGGAAAAATGCGTACGGCCCCGCAAAATCGATGCGAGTTATTGAAAGAAACAATTTTGTTGACGCAAAATTTTATTTTCTTCAAAATGAATGATGAAAGCGAACATTCTGACAGTGATTTTTACTATGTTGCCGAATTACCATGCAAAACTAATTAGTTGTCAACTTACTCTGAAAGCATAGAGAGAAGGTAAACACTTCCTGAAATGAAGAAGTTCACAACTTTATCAAAAGCCAACAACAAAATGGTCAGATGATAAAATACTTATTGACTGAGTGAGGTCGGCGCTCGGTCCGCACGCTCTCACCTCGAGCCAAATATTTTCTCGTCCGGCCATCCCACTCAGTCAATAAGTACATATTATTAGATGTTCTAGTGTTCTGTTCATGATCTTGTCTTTGAATTCGAAATCGTTCGCCTTTTCGCGTAAACGCGCGTAGCTAACAATGCTCTCTCCTAGTTCTGGCCTGTGTTTGCTGAATGTGTATCTGGGATGGTGTTTGTTTATCCTCAACGCGAAATGATTGTCTAGTTTTCAATTTAGCTCCTTGCAGTCGTCGTTTCCTACCACAGGAGTCGTGTCTGGAAGGTTGAGTGCATGTGTCTTGACATCTAGTTAGTAAAAAAATACCCCTTTTCGCCTGAAAATGTTTACCAAAATCAAAATAATTGAAACCATACCCTTTGGGGTGATACATGCATATATATCATAGGATATTTAGTTGAATACTCTGCAAGGTGGAGGAGAAAAGAGTGAAACGACAACTTACGTATATGAGTGGCATTGAGATTTTGTTGTTGGAATGATATCCTCTGTGTCACTCTGTGGAAAATTTGTTTAAGGTGGCTCAAAACAGTTTCCAGCGCTTAGATTTCGATGGGTCATTATAACCACTCTTTATCACTTGATGCTACAATCATGGCATCGAAAAGCTGCCCAATCATTGCCCAATCAAAATAGGTTACCATAGCAACAGCATGACCTAAAAACACCCTTTCGAAAATTTAAGGTGGCTCTGAACCCCACCTACAGAATTTTTCTAAACTTTGCCAAAAATTGCGTCTTATCATGCTTATCAAATGTTGATAATATATAAAAAAAATTCACCGTGCCATTTTTGAATTGTAAGCCCCTAAAGCTGTAATTAGTATAGGCAGTCATATGGTTTCGAGTTCACTTTGGAATTAATTTGCACGAGTGAGCTTTTTGAAAACCTCACAAGTGCAAATTAATTCCAAACGGAACGAGAAAAACCGTATGATTATTAATAATATAAACGTGAAAAAGTTCGCGTGGAGGAAGTGCCGGAAGATCTTTCTTGATGCCATTTTTCTCATTCAAGAAAACTTTTTTTCAAAGTTTCCACTCAAAATTTTCGTCATCATTTTACGTGATATCATTGGCGTAGAAAAATTCCTATTTTCTGTCAGCCAATCATAATCCAGAATTACCACGTGTAATTTTCATTGGTGTTACACTTTTTGCACCGGTGTTACACTTGAACTGGACTGCTCTTAGCCAATCGGAATCGAGTAATTTTTTTATGTATGTTATTAAGGGTATTACAATGACCCATCAAAATCTAAGTGCTGGAAACTGTTTTGAGCCACTTTAATTCAGGCGTTCAAATTTGCCATAAATCAAACTCCTCTTTTATTGAAGCACAGTAGTTTAAACCAATTATTTTGAAAGCGACATGCCCTTGCCTAACTTTACTATTGGTAAGTGTCAAAGAGTCAATCTGTGAGTAAATTAGTACTAATTTGAGTATATGAGTATGCGGGGAATTACACTAATAATATGGGGACTGACTGACGGAATGAAAGAACGAACAAACGAACTTACGAGCGAAGGAATGAATAAATGACCGAACGAACAAACAGTCATGCTCATTCGTGAATGAGCATGACTGACTGATTGACTGAGAGTGACTGACTAAATGAATGAGCGAACACACAAACGAACGCATGCATGGATGAATGAAAACTTTATTTCTTTTTCAACCTCGTTTACGTGTAGGATGAAAGGATTGGGAGTGGCAATGGAAAACGGAATGGACGGCAATTGTTTGTTTGTAGCACAGGATTTGCACGCTTTGTTGATTTAGAAAGCGTCATACCAGAGGGCCACTTTGATGAGAACCCTAAAGAGACTACAGGAAAGAAAACGCTGGACAAAGAGGATGCTATTCAGGAACAAATTCGACGAGATGAAGCTTTAGCGAGATCGATGAGTTATGATTACAGAACACCATGTAAGTCAACACATTCCTCAGATTGCCATAGATTCATTTACCTTGTATTGCATTATTGCTGTTTTAGTACAGAGTGCACTATTAGGATGGGTTAGGGGGTTTTCGTCCACTAATTACTGAACCATTATGGTGTTAACTTTAAAAGTTGTATGATTCATTTACTGTGCGGCCTGCTGCCAAGCACGGTTCATAATTAGCTCAAAGTTCGTTCATATTTTTGTCGGTGATTTAGCTCGTACCCTGCGTGCCCAACTCCACTGCCAAAGTGCTGGGAGAGCAGTGGCATACACTTGACTCCTCCGTGAGGCTTTTAGTTTAAGGAAGGGAGGGCTGGAAGGTTGGTAATTTTCGAGCCACGGAATATGAATATCCATCTTTTCCGAGAGGGCACGGTAACGAATCCTGCAATCTTATTGGTTCTTAGCGCGGTCCGGATTTTCTCATCTCTGAACACGGTCGCGGTAACAGCTACTCTCCCTCGCAGCCGTTTTTAGTGTCGTCACGCAACGCTCCTCAAACGGCTGCTCACGTTCGAACAACATACCTTTCTCTTTGTTGTGAGATCACTAACATCGTTTCTGATGTGACCAATCAGAGCAAAGAAGAATGTGATCAACATCGTTTTTTCCGCGAACTCGCAAGTGTTCTTCTACAATGGAGGAAACACCGAAAAAGCCGGTGTTGCAAATCGATCTTTGTTTTATTTGTTCCGTTGGAGTTGAGAAAAAAGAAAAAGTCTGCATATTTGGGAAAAGTTCTTTCGATTCCTCAGCGATTTTTAGATCCTGCCTCGATGTTAATGTTAGTAGTATTCAGATACCAGCGAGTTGTTAATTTGCAAATCCTGCCATGATAGCTGCATGATAGGCGCCTTATCAAGTTCAAAAAGGCATCTGGTCACCTCGAAGAGCTTAAACAGGAATTGAAGGGAATCGACAAGGATCGCAAAGTTCTAAGAACGAAGCATTCACTAAGCAAAGACAACAATGGGAAAACCGCAGAAGCGCACCTTGGGAAAGCTGCGAAGTGTTTATAGTTCCCGAGTAATAGCGCGCTTGCCACTTGTATTTCTCCTGGTGCTGTAGCCAATTCTACCGTGATTAGCCGACAGGGAAGTTATTATGCTCGGATAAAGTTGCCCATTGGCCTGTATCCTATTCGAAGTCATCCTCACGGACTTGTGCCGTAGGCTTTCCACAGTCAATTAGGAAGACCCTTGTGCGAATTTCGTCAGGCGATACATACCTCGACTATAAATGTCTTCGAAGAAATAGTGGGACGGTCTTACATTCATTTCTGTGACTTCAAGCGAGACAGGTTGAAGGAATTGGATGCCTCAAAAGTACATTCTTGGATAAGTAAGCACATAAAAAATGTGCTCAGGGGCATTAGTTAACAAATAAAGAAGCCTAAGCCGTGTATTACACTGTGATAAAACACTACGGGCATTTGAGAACACGAGGGAAATGCATTTCTCGAGTGTTCTCAGATGTCCGGAGTGTTTTATCACAGTGCAATACACGGCTTAGGCTTCTTCATTTGCTTTATGATATAGATTTTATACACGCAAAACAATAAAACACACTTTTTCTATGTTTTATACTCTGATAAAACATGGATTTTTGACCGATCAGACTGCGCGTAGGGTCCTATCTATATTATAAAGGAAGATAAACAGAAATAACGGAACATTTGTTGCCGCATCTGAAATGGAAAAGAACATAACTTTGAACAATTCAAACTGTTTTTCTAGTTTGAACTGATAAATGTGCAAAACGTATGATGCCCCAGGAGGTACTGAGGTGAAATAGTGTCAAGTATATGTGAATGAAGAAGAATTGTCATTACCTGGCAAAAATAGTCCTAATCAGAGCCCACCAAAAAGTTTGCTGGACACGAGTAAAGCTCACCTGACCCCTTCCTTATACCCATAACTCCTTCCACTGCTCACTGAAAATTCAGATGATCCCTTGCATGCAACTACTTCCAGAAATTCCCTGGTTGCCATTAGCAAAGCCAATCTGGCAATGGCAGTCTGGTAGGAGAGACGACAGACACCAAGTAGTAATAAAGTAGTAGTAAGTAGTACAGTGGAAAATATATATAACGGCGCTGTATCAAGCGGCCACCTTGTATTAAGCGGACAGTTTTCAAATTCTCCGGCAATTTTTCGCTCATGTAAACGCTGTATTTGCTACCTGTATTAGGCGGCCACCTCTTTTCAGCGTCCGCGGCCACCCTGTAGCAGTCCTATGTTTGTCTTTGTTTGTTATTTTTACCTGTATTAAGCGGCTACCCTTGAACGGAAACTAAACCACGTCTTTTTACATATGCGGTATTTTAGTGTGTTTGAAATGCGGTCCATCATCATTGACATAAAGGAGTATCATGTACAAAGCTACTGCAAACTGATAGTCGGTCGCTTAGTATCGTCAGCGCTTTTCAGATTTCCGCAATGTGCTGAGGTACAGTACCATATCACGAACGCCTTTAAAATTGACATTGAACCACGCCCAGTGAGTATTTTTAGTGATCCTGTATTAAGCGGCCACCTATATTAAGCGGCCAGTTCTTCAAGTCCCGAGGGTGACCGTTATATACGGGTTCGACTGTAGTAATGTAATCTGAAAAAGTACATGTACTGTTAAATAATCAAGTTGTTGCCATCGTTTCCTTATTCATATTTTATAAATAATGACAAGTTGTATTCTAAATATTACTGCTCATTATACAAACAGAATGAATATCTCAATTTGAATCTGGCAGAAGCACCGCCTAACAGATTCAATTCAAAGTTATAACCAATTCATTAGGGTCTATGGGGGCACACATGAATCTTGCACTGTATTCGTAATCAAACTTCAGCTGTTATATTGGCTACATCTATCAAACATTGTCTTTCTTATAGTAAAACAGACTTCACATGTGTTATGACCTGACCTGATAAAACAATCATGCAGTTGTTAAATTATGGCATGAATGCTTTTCGCCAGCCAATTACATTTATTCTGACATCAAAACGTGTTGAAATTACTATAGCAACAATCATTAACTTCCTATCTACAATGTGAAAAAATAAAACAATAGGCAGGGGTAGATTGGTCAAAACTGCTGGTGGCATTGTGCCATCTTCGATTGAATCATTGGCATTCATTCTTCCTGCAATGCTGAACTTTTTACAGTCAACTCTCTCGTAAGTGGACACCCGCGGGAATTGGAAAAAGTGTTCATTAGTAAAATTGTCCGCTTACGAGAATGATTTCCATAAGTGGGCACTCAAGGAAAATATGGTGGATGTCAGCTTACAGGAAAGCTACATTAGCGGGTGTTAATTACATGTTACAGTTACCGGCTTAGATGAGTTACTAGATCACATTCCTTTGACGATGACTGTATTTGTCACATTGTCCACAATCATCTCATAAAGTTCATCATCTTGCAAAAATTCCTACCATTCCTCTAGCAACTCATCATAAAGTTCATAGCCGTCAGTATCATTTACAGTAACTATTGCATCACTGTTAGCATTAATGTCTTGAAATACATTGATAACAATTAAAAGGATTCTCTGTACATACCTTCTGTCCCATATTTCTACCAACTTATAAATGTCAGCTATTGAGAAAAATTCTATGCAAGTTATCCAGAACCTGTGATATTTGTAGGGGGCGGGGTGGCCTCATGGTTAGTGCGCTCGACTCCGGAGCGAGCAGTCCAGGTTGGAGCCCTTGCTGGGGACATTGTGTTGTGTTCTTGAGCAAGACACTTAACTCTCACAGTGCCTCTCTCAACCGAGGTGTATAAATGGGTACCGGCGAATTTAATGCTGGGGGTAACCCTGCAATGGACTAGCATCCCATGCGGAGGGGAGTAGCAATACTCTTAGTGGCTTTTTGCTACTGAAACCGGGATAAGCTCCAGCCTGATGAGCCACTCGGCTAGTATGCAGACTTTACCTTTGCCTCTACCTGTGATATTTGGTGCCGGGAAAATCCCAAAATAAACTGTAAATTTGTTAAGGTCTTCACATTACCATTTGCAGTGGTACCAACTAGTTGCAAGACAATGGATTTGTAATACTCTATCAAATTTTTGTCTACAACTTTCTTTAGCTGTTGTGACACTTCTCTTATTTTAGATGAAGACATAGTATTGTTGTGTGTTTTGATAGGATATTTGGTAATGTTATCTGAGTGTGTCTAACCACATCTGCATCGAGTAGCGCAATTGTCACAACAAAGGTGGGGTTGTATTGGATACACGGACAAAGACTCAAAGTGATTCAGAAAGGTTTTTCTCCGGCACTCTTCAGCCTCAATGAAAAACTTCATACGGGTATCAATATGGCTCAATATAATTCCATGATACAGAACATATGCACCACTTTGGTGGCTATCCCTTCCCGTCCTACCAGTTTTTTGAACATAGGACTCCATATTTTTGGAATGTCCAAAATGTGTGACCCTATGAACACCTAGGCAGTCAACGCCTATTCCGAAGGCTATTGTTGCTATTATTAGACAAATGCTGACCATTGTCAGGCTGAAAGGACTCCAAAATGTTTTGCTTATTGGCTGTAGGAGTGGTTGTCATCATGTCAATGAGGACATTTCTGGAGTCATCTCAAACAAACATATGTTGCCCTAAAAGAGCTTTAATAGTAGCATAAAGTATACCACACTGTCTTAAATTTTGGCTATAAATAGTAGTTCTCTCAGTTTTCTGTCGATTCTGTTTTAGTTATTTTGGCATCGGCAAGCCGGCCAAAATAACATCCCAGTTCCATGTCTTTATCCATATATTGCACAACATAGGCGACATTTAATTTGTTCGGACTTGATTACTGCTGCATTTTCCATGCACAGAAGATTTAAAATTTTGTCCCTGGTCAATTTCGTTGCAGTTGCAGTCAGGGCTGCTATTGGCACATTAGCTGCGTCAGTTACCTTAATTGGTTCAGCTAGCTTCGAGTAAGAATCGTGGGATGCTGCCATTTTCTTGTCCTGTGATATTCACCTTCATTAAAGAAAATAAACTGCTTTAATCTATTTTATCACATTTTCCGTTGTTTTATACGCGTATTTATATAGACTTTCGACTGCCTTACGACATGCACTTCGTCAACTGCTATGACATACAGATTTTTTAGAATACACAGGGTTCGTCAGCGTTGACTTCCATCGTTCGTTCTTCAGCCATGCTTCAGGTGATCCATAAACTACCGAATATTGGCCATTTTCTACGCGAGTGCGTTTATGATCCTCAAGTGAACTTATGTTGGCTGTTTTTATCCCTAGCTCCTTCAAATGAGACACCTGATCCTCCATAAGGATTATAAATGACAATGTGACCAGGCTCTTCTGAGATAAAATCAAACTCGAAAGCTTTGCTACTTTTGCTGTTGCACACTGACTCAAATTGTACATAGAGTTATATGATCTTTATCATTTCGTTTTCTATAGTTTCTTTTTTGTCTTACCGTTCTTTATGTGCCTGAATAGTGTGAATAAAGATTGTTGTTGTTGTAGTGCTTGACACAGTAGAGATTTTCCGAAACCAGTGGGAAGATTGATAAGTACATCCTTTCCTTCCTCGACTATTTTCCTAATTCCTGTTTCTTGTTGTGCATTTAAACTAGAAATTCGGAATGTATTACTTACAACATTAAACGCTTCTTCAAGGGTCGCCATACTTCAACATGAAACATGCAATATGATTGGTTAGATTACTTTAGCGCGCACTGTTCTTGGGATATGTCACCTAAACGGTGATAGGTTGAAATGGCATAAAGGAATGTTGTTCGAATGTTAGCAGCCGTTTGTGGGGAGGAGGGTTGCGTGATGACACTAAAAACGGCTACGAGGGAGACTAGGTAACAGCGGGTGAAATTTGACGTGTTATCACTTTTCGTGAGTGAACTAGTGGTAATCGTCAACCTTTGCTCATCTTACACTTCCATCGACGATTTATCTACACAAGTGTATCTATTCACTTTAGAATGGCAAGGAAATTACTGTAAGTAATTCAATCGAGTGTTTTAAAGTTGTGAGAGTTTGTTTGGTTGTTTGTAACTTGGCGCTGTAATGGCGCGTAATCTTTTGTTTCTCATGGCGTACAATTTTTACTAAACAGCTGAGTGAATTTCAGTCGAGTTTGATCGTTGGTGTATTTGAGAGAATTTCTGTGGAATACCCTTAATGAATTTCGTCGCTTTCTGCTATTTAATTTACGGTATAAAAGACTGATTTCAAGTGATTCGCAGTGACTGTCAGAAATTGCTTTCGTTGTATAACTTCTAACTTTGCTGGAAATTTCACACCGGAAAAGTAATTTCGCCCTATTTCGCATTGTTGTTTAGTTCCCGCCACTAGCTCGCATAGCATGGCGCATTGTGCACGCTGTCGTTTAGTTTGCTTCATTGTTTCGCTTCGTGTGCACGCTGTTGTTTAGTTAGCCTCATTGTCTCACGGTTCGCGCATAATCCACCGTAGGAAAAAAGATAGCGACTGTACATTTTACCACAATACCTTGCGAACCTAACACAGCCCATATGTCACAAAGAAAGCCAAATTTTTACAATATTTGTTCCTGTCCTAAGCACACTGAGTAGCCTAAGTTTGAGAATTTCATAACTCTTCTGTACGTTTTTATGAGCGTTGTTACGGTTTTCTTGCGCTAAGAACTATGGGGAAATGTACCAGTCGCCATCTTTTTTCCTATGGAGGATTAGCTTGCTACTTTTGTTACCGCCTTTGCCTGCTTCGTTTGTATTGTATTTGCTTTTTGTCTTCGGTGAATAAACGTGTTCTCTCTTGCTCGGAGTTTCGGCTCAACTTACTGGCGTTTTGTAGAACTGTAGTGGTGAACTAAATGCAATAAATATTAATTTGTAAGAAATGTATCTGTTCTTTAAGACACGCTTTTGTGACAAGTGTCTGAGTTAGTCGTTGCAGAGATTTTTGGTCGCAGGCGGCACGCAAGCCGATTTAGAGACACAGTGGCGTAAACAAACCCACTTGTAAGCCAGTTTACGATAGGAAAAAAATAAACATGTTATTTGCCGGCCTGAGGTCGGTTCATGTGGTGAAACACTGTGACCGAGGTCTTGAAAATACTGCGCGGGCCGCTCGGGCATGAAAATGCAGTTTTTCCCTGTAAGGACCGACCTCAAGCCGGCAAATAACACATATGCATATTTAGAAAACAGCCCTAAGAAAACACGCGCGGTGATTGATTAAAAATCGTGTTTCTATTAAGCAATTAGATTATGAGCGAGATTTCTATCGCGTGATAGTCGACAGAAATCGAAAGTAGAATCATCTAATTGTTTTAGTATAAATCTACTAGTCGTTCACAATTTTATCTAAATCCTTTTCGCAAAGAAGTGGCGGTCATTTTGTTAACAAGGGTACACAGCTAAGCTACTCACTATCTATCACAGAATAGATAGTGAGTAGCGTAGCCAATCAGTGAACGGTATTCGTGATAGAATGCTAGTAGATTTATACTATTAAGCAATTAAATTATAAGGTCGATATTTCTATTTAAACAATAGAGTGTTTGTGAGGAACTATCGGCTGATAGTTGCCCCGCGGAAATTTGATGTTCTTAAAACAAATATTCGCCCGAGAAGCGAAGCTTCGAGGGCAAATATGCTAGTTTTAAGAACATCACATTTGCAAGGGATAACTATCAGACCGATTGTTCTGAGACAAAAACACTCTATTGTCTTTATTGTTCACCCACTAAATTTTCTTCCGCGCGCCAGTTCAAAATTCAAATTGATTTATTTTCAACTTTTTTAGATGAAAGCCGTGAAAGGTCGTTAAAGCCAAATGTAAAATTTGAAAAAGAAAACAGACAAAAACCCACTTAACACAATTTCAATTGTTTATTTTCTACAAACCCGCTTGTATACAGAAAATTTTTCACGGACGAGTACTATCCATCCGGGTATTTTCCGCGGACGGGCACTATGGTCTGGTAGTGTCTCTCCGCGGACGAGCACTAATAAACTGGCGTGATCAATTTAAACCGATAAGAATCGGAGAAAANATCTATCATAGAATAAATAGTGAGTAGCGTAGCCAATCAGAGATAGTGAGTAGCGTAGCCAATCAGAGAACGACATTCGTGATAGAGCGCTAGTAGATTTGTACTAAAACTCGATAGAAACACGGTGCATGTTTTCTATTTCTTAACTATTATACTGCGCTTGGCAAAATTGAGAGAAGTCAGGAAGTGATATTCATGGATATCGCAAAACAATATACACTGTTCGAAATCCAGTTGTTCCACCTTCTGGTGCCCTGGAAAAACGGTGAACTATAGATTTATACTTCTTGCCTACATGGAAGTCGCAGTGCTGCTTGTTCGCCGAGTTTCAGGACATTTCATCGGAGTTCTCAGAGCGATTTCTTCTGTGGAAGAAAGCCCCAAACTGATTATACCATTTTATACCATGCCGTAGGAAATACAGCCAATCATAATACAGGAAAGCCGTTGAAGATTCGACGGTATTACATCCAACCTTCCCATCATGCGCTGCGCGTATGTCGCGTTAATTGTGTTGGCCACTGTATTTTTTATGGCATGGTATAAGGTAGTTATGAAACGCTCTCTCGTGGTATACCATGGAATACCCCGCTTGTCACTTGAATTCTCTCGAAAGACGTGCACGTGTACCTAGAAAATTTAAGTGACTCGTGGGATATTCCACAATGCACCATAAGTGAAGAGTTTATTGAAAACTTGTCGCGCTAAATTATAGTTAATCAACATCGCAACACTGTATCGGTCTGAAGATACGAAGTTACATAGGTAGCGGAGAGGAAAAAGCTGTGAAAAATCTCGTGTACATTTTTCTTGCTGACGCTTTGTCAGTGATATGTGCTTCAATAGATGTATATTTCGAAAGTAACTGTTCGCCTGGGCCCGGTTGTTCAAAACCGCGATTAGACTAACCTCCGATTAAGCCTAATCGTCGATTAAATTTCCTAATCGTGGGTTAGCTAATCGGGGTTAGAAAACGGTTGCTGAAAAGGAGATTAAACGGCCGATTAACTAGTCCGCGATTAAGCGTAAAGTGGATTATTTTAATTGATCATAATGTATTCTTGCGCTATTTTACGTCACAGAATTGCGCGAAACTTTTGTTTTCTGTTGGCTTCTCTGCCCGTGAAACAGTGGCCTTGTTTACCCCAACTGTATCGCTGATAACTTGTAGAAAGTTACCACTGGCATATAAACTTAGTGATAGCAGCACTTTGGTCTATTGGTTCAAGAGCATGGCCACGCTTCGTTTTTCTCCGCAAATCCGCCTCTATGAGGTTTGCGATGTATTCAATGGACCGGCTCTCCCGAATCTCCAACGGATCCAAAGTTCTTGCTCGCTATAAGCAGTATGTTATGATTATATCGATAACATTTGTCCAACGAGAGGGAGATGAAATAACAAGCCGGACATTTTTCTTCAAATTTAATCGGCAGATTAGGGAGTTAATCCTCCTCTGGAGGTGTATTAAATTTAACCTGCCGATTAGAGTTTGATTAGCGCTAATCGGGCTTTGTGCAACGCAGTCTAATCGCAGATTAAATTTTAATCGTTGGTTAAGCAATTTAATCCCTGATTAGCGCTAATCGCGGGTTTGAACAACCGGGCCCTGATAACTAACCAATGACATGTAAACACAGAAATGACATTAACAGGTTTGAAAGGCAAAGGATCCCTAACCTGTTTCAAACACTACCAAACTCGCATATTTTGTCAACAGGGTACAGAGAAAAAGAGCTAGGAGAAGACTCGCAAAAAAAACTGAGGGAAATGGAACAGCATTTGAAAAATGTGCGGAAGGAAAAACAGCAACAAGAAGAGAACTCACAAAGAGAATTGAGGGAGATGGAACAGCTGGTGGCGAAAATGGAACAACAACTGAGAGAACAAGAAAGACTATCGGGCGAAAGGGAAAAGCAATTGACAATTTTCCAAGAAACATTGCGAGTAAAAGAGTTGCAAGAGAAGATCTTGCATGAGCTGCTGAAAGAGATCGACGAACAAGAAGAGAACTCACAAACACAATTAAGAGAGATACAACAACAGCTGATAGAGAAAGATAAACAAGAAGAGAATTTACTGAGGCAACTAAGAGAGATGGAACAACAGCTGAGCGAACAAGAAGAGAATTTACAAAGACAATTAAGTGAGATACGACAACAGCTGAGAGAGAAAGAAGAAGAAGAAGAGAACTTACAAAGACAAGTAAGGGAGATAGAACAACAGCTGAGAGAGAAAGACCAACAAGAAGAACATTTACAAAGACATCTAAGAGAGATGGAACAACAGCTGAGAGAGAAAGACGAACAAGAAGAAAATTTACAAAGACATCTAAGACAGATGGAACAACAGCTGAGAAGGAAAGACGAACAAGAAGAGAACTCACAAAGACAACTAACAGAGATGGAACAACAGCTGAGAAGGAAAGACGAACAGGAAGAGAATTTAGAAAGACAACTAAGGGAGATNGGAACAACAGCTGAGAAGGAAAGACGAACAAGAAGAGAACTCACAAAGACAACTAACAGAGATGGAACAACAGCTGAGAAGGAAAGACGAACAGGAAGAGAATTTAGAAAGACAACTAAGGGAGATAGAACAACAGTTGGCAAACTCACAAGGGCAATTTCTAGAGGACGAAAGTGCTAACTTACACCAACAAGTCACTGCCCTAGAACGACAGCTGAGGGTAAAAGACCAGCAAGTGAATGAATTGGAGATAACTCTTTCAACAGCTCAGCAAGCATTGAGTGAACATCAACGCCGACAGGTCACACCTGACTGGGTCATTTCCCGTGATCAAATTCAGC